GGGGGCACGACGTGGGCAGACATGTTTTATTCCAGACTAGTGGAAAGAGAACACCCAAAAAACACATGCAGGTTTTTATTTTACTTTCTCCTGAGCCCTCCAAAAGCTGCCATTAGATAATGCCTCATTTGCATATTTAAACATAACATTTCAGAAAACTTGTCACACAGAAAACAACTGGGGAATTTCATTGGGATATCTGTTACATCACGTTGATGTTTTTAAACTATATTCACGTAGGACGTCTCTCAAGTCATCGATCAATAGAAGATAAAACAACCGCCGATAGTAAAAAATAAACATATATTTCCACAACATTACTGTTGGCAGCTCCTTTAACAATACCAAGTCAGTTTATAAAGGTGACGTCAGTAAACCGTAGATTAATTTATCTCTACTAATCAGACACCAGCGTGGTTGTGATTGGTCATCTCCTGTGCTCAGAAGAGATTTCCTCGTGAACTGTATTTATAGACGCACAGCCTCCAATAGAAGGAACTGTTTTTACCAAATCTGTAACATGCAAACTGTAATCATTTCCTCTCACTCATTATCACTGATCGAAATGAATGGAGGTCTGAGATTTGCTAACAGTAAAACACAAGGCCAACGTGGCCGATCTGTGTATATTTAGAGCTTTGGTGCCTTACAAGATCTTAAAAAAAGAGCTGTCCCTTAAAACAAGCGTACCTGATGATGACGTGGGCGAGCAGCCCTAAATATTACTACAGCTACAGGAAGAGAGAAAAACCCTGAAACAGATTCAAGCAATCTTTTCAAGCATGCGTATGGATTACAGCCCGACACCGAGAGCATGAGAGCATTCTTCACGTTCTCATGTGTGACTCTGTGATGTTTAATCTACGTTTTAGGGTTCACAGCTACACACGTACAGTATTTTCACTTCATAGTGTGCAAAATATGGCTTTTCTTATTTAATACATTTCTAATTTTGTCTATTTTTTTGTATGTTTTAATGATTTTTTTAAGTGTCCGTTTCTTGCTACTATTTGGCGCTCAAACTGCTACCCCCCCCCAGGGACCATGAAAGCGTCGGATGCATCGTCAGACTGAGTGAGTTGGATTCACGCTGATTAGACGGATGCAGCAAAAGACCAAAAAGGTTCTGTTTTGATCTCTTGAATATAAATTTCTGTTTCTGTCTCTCTCTGTCATTCATTTTCTCTTTGTTTACGTTCGTCCTGTTCCACCGGTTCTGTTTCTCACGTCTCATTTCGAGGGGCGAGCGAGCAGATCTTCAGTATTCACCGTCCGCTCCTCTCAGACACACTAAAAACCTCCAGGATGCAGTCACCCCTGGCAACGGCTGAAACCTGCCCGCACAGTGCACCGAGGCGGCCGGTAGAGGGAGCGGCGGCTGTGCTGCCGGTTGTGATGGGGATGGAGGGGGGGGGGGGGGGGCAGTGGAACAACAACAGAAGGAGGGGAAGAAAAACAACAGAGTAGCAGAGAAGGAAAAGACAACGAGAAAAGAAGCAGAAATGTCTCATTAATGTTGCTATTATGACTATTATTCTATTTTGTAAATTTGTTCCTTACTCTTCAGGAGTAGTGAGGTAATGTGAAATGCTCAATTCATTTTGCCACAGTGTCAGTAATCTTAAATAAACTGTGTTAAAACACACGTAAAAAATATCAGGTTTTAAAGATTTTTAATCCTATAAACCAGGCGGGAACCTCCAGTTCTGCTGAGAAGTGTCTTAAAATGCGCGTTCTCTCCACTGACGTAGTCATCATGACGTCTCTCGTTGGTTTGTGGACTGATGTTTTGAAGCCTCAAGTTCGCCGATTTCGCCGTCGCCATCTTGTTTTTTGCAACCAAGGAACAGAAGTGACCATATTTTGAATGCGGAGGAGTGACGTAGAGACGCCGTAAACAGCTCTGTCAATCACAGTAAGCCCCGCCCCTAAAGCATCCCCTGCTTTATGGTCTGTTTGACTCTAAATGGACCATAATGTACTAAATGAACATCAAGAGAGAAGTAGAGTCATTTTCTCATAGACTTCTATACAACCAGAGGAGTCGCCCCCTGGTGGACACTAGAGAGAATGCAGGTTTTAAGACACTTCTGCATTGGCTTCACTTTTCGGAACTGGAGGTTGCCGGCTGATTGTGAGGCAGTTAAGTATATAGATTAAGCTCATGTCTTTTACTCAAATACTATGCATCGTGAACGCGCATCATTCTCACTTTTACGTCATACTTAGCATGATAGTATGTTAATGCGATCTAAAACACAGCCTTTGAATTGGTATTTGTGATCAAAAATAAATATATATAGCTGTCATGTGAGAAAGGCACACACACTTCATCTTTTTACATCTTACATTTTTAATTGTAAATGCTAATCCCAATTTTCCTTATTTTCTGTTATTTACCAACAGTTGAATATGACTAACATGTACTAAACCATTGCTTTAGATGAGCGTCCCTGATGAAATGCAGACCCAACATCCCCCCCGCGAGACATGAGAGTGAGAGAAAGAGTGATCAGATTGAAACAGAGTGATAGTCCTGTGTGTCAAAAGTGTGAGATTCGACTGCTGAGAGAGAGAGAGAGAGAGAGAGAGAGAGAGAGAGAGAGAGAGAGAGAAGCCCCCACAGAGAGACAGAGACTCCAGAGAGAAAGAGTCTCATCTGCAGGAGGGAGAGAGGTGTTTGGGCAGTGATGACAGAAGCTTTCACTCCCGGGAAACACCAAACAATCAACCTGTAAAGCACACACAGACACACACACACACACACACACACACACACACACACACACAGACACAACTTAAGCTGTGCTATAACATGCTAACAGTGTGTTCACCTTTCCTGTGTTTGACCTCTTCGCTGTTGTATTGCGTCTTGCATTTCACTTCAGCGAGGTGTCTTAATGGATGAATAGTAATGAACGAGGTGCAGATGAAGGATGTCATGTGAGTGAAGCAACGTGTCCTCACGCCACGGTTTGGAGGATGTCTTGCGAAAATGTTACTGCTCATTTTTGGTGTGTTTTCCTATGAAAGCCTGCAACACGTATCATGTCTGTGTGACTCTAAATGAACCATAACTTACTAAATGAACATCGTGCTGTATTGAAGAAGACTTGAAACTAGAGATTGAGACCATAAACTCATGTTTACAATGTTTACTGAGGTAATAAATCAAGAGAGAAGTAGAGTCATTTTCTCATAGACTTCTATACAACCAGAGGAGTCGCCCCCTGGTGGACACTAGAGAGAATGCAGGTTTTAAGACTCTTTCACATCGCTTGTCAATTTCCGCTCGTTACATGTACACAGATTTTAAAAAAGAATCTTCTGTCTTCACAGGAAGCATCTTAGGCAACAGAACTACTCAGTACGATGACTTCTCGTATCACACGGGGCAGTACAGCGGTCTCCTGGGGGAGTGGCTGGGCTTTGTTTGGCTAGTAAAGTGAAAAAGTTGGTGCATCGATAAAAGCAAAATGCAACAAAGTGCAACAGAAACAAATTTAGCGAATGCATAACGCGCATGACGCAAGCGACCTCAACGTTCACTGAAGCTTCTGCTTCCGCTGAAGAGACAAAAAACTGAGTTTTCTACGTCGTTTCTTTTCACCGTTTGAGGTTCGACTCTTTAGGTTACGTTGCTTCACGGCAGCCCATGGAGACAAGCGTGATGTCCTGTTGTCTCTACAGAGGGACACTGATGATGATGATGAAGATGAAGATGATGATGAAGACGACGCCGACGACAATGATGATGATGAAGACGATGATGGTGATGACGATGACGGTGATGATGATGACGACAATGATGATGATGATGATGAAGATGATGATGAAGAGGACGATGATGACGGTGATGATGAAGATGAAGATGACGACGATGATGGTGATGATGAGCACGAAGATGAAGATGATGAAGATGAAGATGAAGATGACGATGATGCCGCCGATGATGAAGATGACGACGATGATGAAGATGATGAAGATGATAACGGTGATAAAGATGAAGATGATGGCGACGATGATGAAGATGATGAAGATGATGGGGAGGATGAAGATGATGGGGATTTCTGGCCCTGATGAGGAGGATCTCAGGGGTCACTCGCCGCCTTCACTTCGCCTGGTCTCTCCCCGCTCGCGGCATTGCCATGGCGACCGGCGAATTCCTCTCTTCGCCGAGTCTCCACGGTTACCGACCTGCTCTCATTCATAAGCGTTGCCGGGGCAACGCAGCACTGGCTCATTGATGGAATCTCGGCATTGCCGCAGCAACGGGGATGGGAAGTGGGTCTCCTAGCGATTGATTTTCAACCCCTCCGAGCCCCCGCATCTCCCTCCCACACACACACACACACACACACACACACACACACACACACACTGACCAAATGAGTGCATCCTTTTACCGCATACAAACACAGACACACTCTCATCATGTGCATGCACTCACTCTGCCCACACACACACACACACAGCACGTACGATCTGATGAGGGAGACGAATGCGTTGCAGGTAGTATGGACGATCCACTTTCTCTGCTACAACATGTACGCAGACGCATAAATCCCCCCCCCCCTACACACACACACGAGAAATGTAGAGATGTTTTTCAATCAGGAGCTCAACCCCAATCGACTCTAATTGGTTAAAATCCATCTAGTAGTGAACAATGTGTCACACACAGCCACAGTGCAGCCTCCGTGTACTGAAGTTAGACTCATTTTGATTTAGCCTTAAAGGGACAGTGTGTAGGATTCGTTAGCATCTAGCGGTGTGGTTGCAGATTGCAACCGACTGAATAGCTCACCTCTCACTCCTCCCTTTTCCAAGACGCCGTTCGCCTGACTCAAATAACGATGTGAAAGTCTCTCTCTAGAGTCAGTGTTTGGTTT